GTTGAATTCTGCATCTAGGAAAGATCATTTTCCACTTCCATTCATTGATCAAATGCTAGAAAGATTAGCTAATCACCCATACTACTGCTTTCTTGATGGTTATAGTGGTTTCTTTCAAATACCAATTCACCCTAATGATCAGGAGAAAACTACATTTACTTGTCCATATGGAACCTTTGCATATAAAAGAATGCCTTTTGATCTCTGTAATGCACCAGCTACATTTCAGCGGTGCATGACTTCTATCTTCTCGGATTTAATTGAGGAGATGGTTGAGGTATTCATGGATGACTTCTCCGTGTATGGCTCCTCCTTCTCCTCTTGTTTGTCAAACTTGTGCAGGGTACTTTCTAGGTGTGAGGAGACAAACTTGGTACTCAACTGGGAAAAATGTCATTTCATGGTTAAAGAAGGCATTGTACTGGGGCACAAAATTTCAAAGAAGGGTATAGAGGTTGACAGAGCAAAGATTGAGGTTATGGTGCAGCTGCAACCACCAAGGAGTGTCAAAGATGTGAGAAGTTTTCTGGGACATGCTGGGTTTTATAGAAGGTTTATCAAGGATTTCTCCAAGCTTGCAAGACCAATGACAAGGCTGCTGTGTAAGGAAATGGAGTTTGATTTTGATGAGGAATGCCTGAAATCTTTTCAACTCATCAAGGAAGCTCTGATTTCAGCTCCAATAGTCCAAGCTCCAAACTGGGACTATCCATTCGAAATTATGTGTGACGCCTACGCTGTAGGAGCAGTCTTGGGACAAAAGATTGACAAGAAGCTCCATGTCATCTACTACGCAAGTAGAACAATGGATGATGCTCAGGTGAAGTATGCCACAACAGAGAAGGAGTTATTAGCAGTTGTTTTTGCGTTTGAAAAGTTCAGAAGCTACTTGGTGGGTTCCAAAGTCATAGTCTACATAGATCATGCAGCCTTGAGACACATTTACGCAAAGAAGGATACCAAACCAAGGCTGTTGAGATGGATACTACTTCTGCAAGAGTTTGACATGGAAATAGTAGACAAGAAGGGTATAGAGAACGGTGTAGCTGATCACTTATCAAGGATGAGGATTGATGATGAAGTCCTAATTGATGATTCGATGCCAGAGGAGCAACTCATGGTTACAGAATTCTTTGGAAAGAATTACAGTGGGAATGAGTTTCACCAACTGAATGCTGTTGAAGGAAGATCACCATGGTATGCTGATCATGTCAATTACTTGGCCTGCGGAGTAGAGCCCCCCAACCTGACCAGTTATGAAAAGAAGAAATTTTTAGAGATATAAACCACTACTACTGGGATGAGCCATATCTTTACACTCTCTGTAAAGACAAAATTTACAGAAGATGTATCTCAGAGGAGGAAGTGGAAGGCATCTTGCTTCACTGCCATGGTTCAACATATGGTGGTCACTTCGCGACGTTCAAGACAGTATCTAAGGTACTGCAAGCAGGCTTCTGGTGGCCAACCATGTTCAAAGATGCCCAGCAGTTCATTTCAAGATGTGACTCATGCCAGAGGAAGGGAAACATCAGCAGGAGAAATGAAATGCCACAAAATCCTATATTAGAGGTAGAAATCTTTGACGTCTGGGGAATCGACTTTATGGGACCATTCCCTTCTTCCTATGGGAACAAATACATCTTAGTAGCAGTAGACTACGTGTCCAAGTGGGTTGAGGCCATTGCAAGTCCCACAAACGATTCAAGAGTGGTTCTGAAGATGTTTAAAACCATAATCTTCCCAAGATTTGGTATACCAAGGGTTGTCATCAGTGATGGAGGCACACACTTCATCAACAAAGTCTTTGAGAACTTACTAAAGAAGCACGAAGTGAAGCTTAAGGTCGCCACACCTTATCATCCACAAACAAGCGGGCAGGTGGAGATCTCCAACAGGGAGATAAAAGCAATTCTGGAGAAGACTGTTGGGACTACAAGGAAAGACTGGTCTGCAAAGCTAGATGATGCACTATGGGCTTACAGGACAGCATTCAAAACCCCTATTGGTACAACTCCCTTCAACCTTCTCTATGGAAAATCCTGTCACTTACCTGTTGAGCTCGAGTACAAGGCTATGTGGGCAGTGAAACTCCTGAACTTTGACATCAAAACCGCTGAGGAGAAGCGGTTGATCCAACTGAATGATCTCAATGAGATTCGCTTAGAAGCTTATGAGAGCTCTAAAATCTACAAAGAGAGGACTAAGCTTTTCCATGATAAGAAGATCATCACCAAGGACTTCCAAGTTGGTGATCAGGTGCTGCTATTCAATTCTCGCCTGAAACTCTTTCCAGGAAAGCTCAAGTCTAGATGGTCTGGTCCCTTCTGTGTTACTGAAGTTCGCCCTTATGGAGCAGTCACTCTAGCTGGTAAGAGTGGAGATTTCACAGTGAATGGCCAAAGACTCAAGAAATACTTAGCAGATCAAATCCTCCCAGAGGTGACCTCAGTTCATCTCCAGGACCCTCTTGAGGTTTACGGGCATAAGGAAGTCAAGCTAATGACTTAAAACAAGCTCACTTGGGAGGAAGTCCCATGTCTATCACTGTACATATTTTTATTTTCCTTGTTATTTCTAATGCATTTTGGTAGTGCTTTCAGGTAATAAATGTTAACGAGCTTGGAGAAGTGGATTGGCTCTGAGAATTCAACAAAACACTCGACCACAGGGGCAAAGAGCAAGTGAAGCTATGTAATCGAGTATCAAAGTGGTTTTAGTCCCAAGGATTTTGAAGTTTCAACTTATCACTCTATCACACGAAGCCACCGAGACTCACAGAAGCTTGATCAAGTTTACAGAGGATTGCGAGTTGTTCTGAGATTTTTCAAGGAAAAAGTGATTCAAGACAAATAGACAGAGCATGGCCCACCACTCCTCCTTTTTGTCTCCCACACGCGTTTTTGAAAGTGATAACGTGGTAATGCAATCTCAACTTTCACTCTCCACCACTCCTTTTCTATCTTCTCTCACACAACTTTCATCACTTCTCCCTCACACTCCTTTACACCATTTTCGCAACTCAACATCTCCCATCATTTCTCCACCACCGACACTTCATCTCTTTCGTTTTCACCATCTCTCCCTCGTCCTCATCTCAATTCGCTCTCATCTCTCTCAATCATCATCCCGTTTTCTTTCACTCCACCACCACTCTCTCTACTTCACGACCAGCAAAACCCTCTCCATCATTCACTCACTACACCACATCGGAGAAGGATTGCCACCACTTCATTTCACCATCACTCGCCGCACATTCCAAGCATCAAACGGGAGTACTCGATTTCACCAAGAACCACCGTAAGACGCTCGACTTCACCTCTCAACCGGAACTCGACTCACAACTCGATCGCAACCCTCTTCTCTTCCGATTCTTGCTACTCGACCGCTTCTCACCCTTGCTGTCGAGTTCTTCACCAGCGATTCGCAATTCTCAACCCAACAAACCACAGTACTCGACTGGATACTCGATTTCACAGGAGAAAAACATTCGACTGCCACTTGTGTTGCTATTGAAGGAAGAATCCGGATTAAAGAAAGAAAGTAAAGTACTCGACCTATTCCCAGGAGCAATACTCGATTGCAAATCCCTAAGTTCAACTCGACCTCAAGGAGAAAACGGTTTACCTTTCAAACCAGTTTCGATTTGTATTATCTCTTGACACTAACCTGTTAACTTTTCGCTTTGAGTTTTGAATATTCTCAGGATTCACCATGAGCAACTACACTGGCGGTCCTTCAGCAGACTCTGATTACAATGTTGATGATTCAGAATCTTGGTCTTCAAGACCAGCAAGAGAACATGAGGAATATGAAACCTTCAGAAGGAGAGCTGAGATAGCTCGTGGGAAGAGAGAAATGACAGCAGGGTATGGGCTGATAGATGAGGATTTAGATGACTTGGAAGATGAGGATGTCCCGGAACCTTCTCCCAGATCTACAAAGCTCCTGAACAAACCTGATGAGCTTCCAGTTGAAGAGTACATCAGACTCTTCAACTTGAATGAATTCTGTGGAACAAGGTATCCATGTCGTAAGACACTGGAGAAGCTGGGGTTGCTGGAAGATGTTGAGCACATGTTCAAGAGTTGTCACCTGGACACTCTGATGAGCTACCCTTTGTTGCTTATGAGGATGAAACTATACAGTTGCTTTCGAGTCTACAAGTGGAAATCTACCAAGGAATGACTGCAGATGAGTTACAGAACGAAGGGTTGGGCTTCATCACATTCACAGTGCATGGGCAGGATTACATGCTGACGATCCAACGGTTGGAAGGACTGTTTGCATTCCCCAGTGGAACGGGAACCAAACAGAGGTTTGATAGAAGCGAGCTGAAGAATCTATGGCTCACCATTGGCAGCACTTCAGCGCTTAACTCTTCAAGATCAAAGAGTAATCAGATACGCAGCCCCGTCATCAGGTACTTCCAACGCTCAGTAGCTCATGTTCTTTACTCCAGAGAAGCTACAGGGACGGTCACCAACACTGATATGGAGATGATCTCCATGGCTCTCAAAGGCACTCTCCATCGGGCCAAGAACAATCAGATTCCGCAAGGTGATACCAATGACACTTACCTCTTGTTATTCTCTTGTTGCTCCACCTGTGTGGTTACAAGAAATGGGCTGTCACCAATAATAACAAGAGAGCACGAGGTTCTCTCTGCATAGGAGGTGTGGTGACACCAATTCTGCTTGCATGTGGAGTCCCCATCATCTCCAAGGGACATGACCCAAGGTTGATGGATGTTGAACACCTACATCACATTGATTTCCTGGAGTATGCGATGGTTGGTGACATGTATAGATACCGCTTTGAGCACCCCACAAGCAAGAGAGCAAACATCCTTTTCCCCTGCCCTGAGCGTACACGCATCATAGAGGGATATAACATCGACTTTGAGCCTTCAGTTGACGACCTGTACGTCGAGATGGCTCAGCCAACGCACGAGGCTATTCCTGCAGAAGAAGAAGCTGCAGATGATGAGATTGATGAGATGGAAGTAGACTGGGAAGAGCCATCTGATACAAGTATGTATCATTTCAGTGAGCATGTGGCTCCAGCAAGAGAGATTAAGAGCTTGAGTGAAGCTCACAAAAACCAGAGCCTATTGCAGAAGTGGTGCAAGAAGCAGGACAAGTACATCAACAAATTCATAAAGGGTATGAAGTCTCTAAAGGCCATGGTTAGCTGCTCCTCTTCCAGCACAGCGGTACCACAAGGACAGCCTCCTCAAGACATGCCTTCGAGGAGATATGATGAGCCTGAGCCTAGTGCGCATGAAGTCTCTCCAGTCCCTGCAAGGCACTCATCACACGAGCCTCGAGAACACAAGAGAAGAAAGAAGGCTATACTTGCCCGTTCCAACAGCACAACGCTGCTAATGCGCTCCAGGAGATCACTCGACCGCGGTGCTGGCCGCAGAAAGAGAAGGGAAGTCGAGCACCAACAGGAAGGAGAAGCTGAAACGCATCAAGGAGACTCTTCAAGTGCCTGGCACGAGTCACAGGCAGGGATTGATGATCACCTGCGCTCTTACTTCAACTGAGGTAAGCACTACTATTCACCATTGTCAAATACCATCCTCTGTTTATTTTGTTTCTGCGTATCTGATTACTCTCTTCCAAGTTTGATCACACAGAGGACTGTGTGATTCAAGTTTGGGGGAGGGCTCAGGAAGTGTTTGTTATCTAATGACGTTTGTTCTGTTCTTATTTCAAATTTTTGCATCATATAGCTTGCATTGCATCTAAGGCATAGAAAAAACCAAAAAATTTGAAAAATTTCTGAAAATGATTTCATAAAAAGAGTGTTCATGTAGTTTGCATTGTCATGTAGGATTGTTTAGTATGCAATCACTTAGGACTGTTGCATCATGAAGTTTGCATTGGGGATTATGATGATGTTGCCTTGTAGAAATTCTGGTTTAGGATTGAACTTAAAGCCCTTGAGCATAGTTGACTGCTGCTTGATCATCTGTGAAAAAAATGAAAAATCCATGCTTAGACTTCTGTATGATTTGAAAGCAATTTCTACTTGTGTGACGCTTACATGATCTCTGAAACATCTCTATGAATTTGGACATAAAACTGATTTAATTCTCTCGCTTATGGTAAATGAATGCATCCTCATGGTTGTCCATTTGACTCATTCGGGTTTTCTTCTCCATTTTGCCAATCTATTGTGAACCCGAATGACTATTCTCATCTTTAGAATGGCTCCCCTACCCTTAACCTTAACCTTTTCTTTGAAACCTATGATTTGATTGTGTGTGAGGCCTTTTGTTTGATAATGCAATAGGTTGTGAAACTTTGAGAGTATCGAGAACGACAAAGCTTTAACTCTTGCTTTAGGCTAGACTCCTGAACTTCATTAAGGATAGCTAATAGGTTGAGAATGAAAAGGTATAAGTGGTTAGAACAATATATGGGGTTGGTCATTGGGTTTGAGAGAAAGAAAAGGGAATGGAAAAGAAAGGTTGATCACTAAGTGTTTTAAAAGAGTCCCTAGGGAATGAAAGTCATAAGTAAAAGCTCTAAGTCTCTAAAATAAGAGAAGTTGAATAAGTTAGTTCCCCAAACAGAAAAGAAAAGTTTCAAAGTTATACAAGTATTGGGAACAAAGAAAAGTCTAAGAAAAGTTTAAAGAAAGAGCTAAGTGTTTAAAAGGATTCCCTAGGTGACTGGTAAAAGAAAGATGATCTTATGAGTTGTGTTTAAAAGAAAGACCAAATGGTCTAAGTGGTTTCTGGGAAAAGAGAGAATGATAAGATTGAGCTAAGGGTAGATACTAGTGATTGCATCTAAGATGGGTAGAACATCAAGAGTTGAACTTTGTAGCATAAACTGTTCTTGGTCTTAGATAAATTTCATGACTGTCTTGCATTCCTTGTTTCTGAGAGAAAGCCACCAAAGAATAAAACACTTGAAACCACCCTCAAAAGCCTTTGTCCCTAAACCGATTGAGTTTGATTCATTTACCATCTGCGAGATGCACCAAACACTAATGAATGTTAAAGAGTTGTTTCAGCTTGATTGTGAGTTTGAGCTAATGGCTAGAAGTTGAACTAGAATCATGCATTGATATAAGCATGGAGAAGTACGAAAGAGTATATTGTTTGATTCATGCAGCTTTGAATTATTCTCAAGGACTTTAAGTTGAACCCTTTGTCTGATGCTTAGCTTGGTTTTGAATCCCCACTTTCAAACCTCTCCTCCATCTTGTTCTTAATTGTTTGCTTGAGGGCAAGCAAAGACTAAGTTTGGGGGAGTTGATATGTTTACATTTTAACTGTTTTGAGCAACCATTTAGCATCACTTTATCATCATTTCATCGCTATTTCATAACATTCTTCATCATTTGTCATCACTTTGCATGATTAGGATAGTTCTGCATACATGTTGCATTTTTGAGTTGTTTTCAGGTGATTCGGAGCTGTTGGTGAGCAAATTGGATGAAGTGGATCAGAACTCGTCAGTATGCTCGACCTCGAGGTCGAGTGCCACTTCCTTGGAGCACTCGACCACAGTACTCGATCTCCAGTTCCATAGGCCACTCGATCACCCTCTGCAACTTCATGCTCGACCTCAACCTCAGATCACTACTCGAGTACTCTTAGCAACCATCATCTCAAAGCACTCGATCACCACCTCCTTGGAGTACTCGATCACATCTTCCTTGGAATACTCGATCACATCTTCAAGCCACCACTCGAGCATCAGCCAAAGCCATCACTCGACTGACACTCGGCCTCTTGATCGAGCCCCCTCTTCTTCAACCACTCGACCAAGCACTCGACTGCATGCTTCAGAGGCTTCTCAGATCCGCACTCAACCAGACATTGAGCATAAGGAAGAGAAGAGGATGAAGCATTACATCATGATCGGAGCAAGAATCCCCAAAGACACCAACTTTACTCGACTGCTCATACTCGATCACAAGGGTCGAGTACTCTCTTAAACCGCTTTAAAACTTTGTCGTTTTGTGTTTTAGGGCTTCCTAGTATTTACTATAAATAGGTTGTTTCTCTTAATTTTCAGACTAAGTTTTATTCTGCAGAACAATTAGTGTATTCTTCATCTTTGTAATCCAGATTTCTCTTAATCCATTGAGTATTTGCTTTTGATTTCTTCTACAAAGTTGTTCATCTTGTTGAGATCTTGCTAATATGAAGTTTTTATGCATTTCTGGGTTTATGTTCATGTTCATGAGTTTTGAGTAGTGATAAGGGTTCTTGAGGATGGGTTAGAGTAGTTTAGAATCCTTGATCTGCTAGGTGGTTGAGTTTGATTGGTAGATCCCTTCTGGATTAGTTGTTCTTAATGCTAATTTCTTTCTGATCAACTGGAATTTGAGCCCAGACATTTCCGCACCCACAAGGTGTTCGATGAAATGTCTGAACCACTAATTCCAGAGATTCGTGGCTCTGTACCAAGGTATTGGTTACAGGGAGCGTTTTGGCTTAGACTTGTTGATTCGTAATGCCTGTTAGGTTAGCTCTCGTCAATGGTGATTGAGTCTGGGACTAGCTTTGCTTGAGGATCTCTGTTGCGGTAGCACTTTGATTTGGTATTTGAACTTGTTGTCTAGGGATAGTTTGTTGAGCATGTTGACCACCTGTTAGATTAAGGAGACTTCACTACTCGATTACCCCATCCTCGGGAATTTTTCTTCCAATTGATTTCTCTGTTTACATTGTTTTTGATTGCTTGTTCTTGTTGCATGTTGTTTAGTTTTTGCATTTCTTACCTGTTTTCATTCATATACTCGACCACACCCAGTGTCTGGCAACAGACTGTGTGGTAGAGTACATTTGTTGCAGTTTCTGTTGGTACTCGACCTGATACTCGACCACATCCAGTGCTTGGCATCAAGCTGTGTGATCGAGTATATTGCCTGTTTATGTTAAAATTTCTGTTTTTGCATGATCACCTAGGACTGTTAGAAACACCAAAACCTGTTATTGCTTGGCTTGACTCTGTGATATCTGATTGCATCTTGATTGCTAGCATCACACCCATTTGGATTGACACCTTAAATACTGCAATGACATGATAGTAATTTAAGGAATTGAGAACTAGTTAAAATCCTACTATCACCTATAATGACTGAATAAAAACTAAAAAGAAATTATAAACTAATAAAACTAGTGGTGGGAATTTTGATTAGGTTCAGGTTTGGTTTAGGTTCCATTTGGTTCGATTAATTCTGTTTTCACCCGAACTTAGATTGATTTGGTTTGTGTCTAAATCGGTTTATGTTTGGTTTTGTTTTGTTTGGTTTGGTTTAATTCGATTTAGTTTTTTTTTGTGGTTTGTGTTCAATCGAAGTCTTTTTGTTTCTTGTGGTTTACTCTTCAAGGAATCCAGGTTTAGATATAAATTAAACGAACTCAATGCAATTTTACATTAATTAATTTGTTAGATTAGGAAAAAAATAAACGTGTCAAATCAAGTGTAATGTAGGTAAAAGATTATATATTTACTATCTAGTATCTACAAAATTATTTAATACTATTAATTAATTGAATGGTTTATCGGACTCGATCGGTTTTAAAAGAAACATAACTGAATGTTTTGAGTTTAAAGATATGGTTTTGTTTAGATCGGTTTTAGTTCGGTTCGGTTTGGTTCAATTAGGTCAAAATGCCCATCCCTAATGAAAACATAGAGGCGATAAGAGTCAAAAGTGGTAAAAAATGTGATATATCAAAACCACTATGTCATAGTCTAGACAAATGTTGCAGCCCCTCTCGTAGCAAGATTCTCGATTAAGATTTTAGCTTGTACGACAGGCTTGGTTATGAAGTTACCTTGGTGGTCGACCATGTGGGTGTGTGCTTAGGTCAACCACGGATGAGGTTAGATGAGGTCGACCCTCAATCAATCTTCTAGGCCAACTTCTTCCTTTGCACCGTTTGCCGCCAAATTGACATGTCTTTATACAATTACCATATCTTTTGAACAACTAAAGAAAATTACTCGGGACATTGCTAACTCTCTAGCTTTAGTTTGATATAAAGATCATTCAATTTAGTACTTCAACAAATGTCGAATCTCTTAAGTACATAACATGTTTGCTTTCTTCTTTTTGCATTTTCCACGTTCTTGACATGTAAAGACGTAAGACACTTAAATACTAGAAAACTATTTCTTTAGGTCATAAAACCGCATAAAACGATTAAATTATTATATATAAAAACGTACGAAAATATGAGAA